CCTCGTCTTGATTTATAAACAAAACCTGGAAAACCTACAAAAATAAGTGTTTTGTGGTTTATCTAGGAATAATACAGAAAATATTGCTGTTATTTTTGGTGAAGAAAATCAATTTTGTATAGTTTATTTCAACCTAAATAAAATGTGAATTTTGTTTAAAGTTCAGGTACATTATTTTTGGTGGGGGACAAAATGGATTCTTGTGGTAAATTCTTTTTTCAAAAATATCACCTTCACAATTGAAGATGGCTTTTTATGGGCTTTTTTGGGGGGGGTGGTGGCATATGTTTTACTACTTGGGGTATATAAAAGACATTTTAATTAAGAAATTTCTAAATAAGGTTTATCTAACTGATGTGTTTTAATATTATGTGCTGTATGACCCCGTTACAAATTTTCAAGGTTTGTGTAATTGTTGATAGCTAAATGTAAATGAATTAATATAATTGCCAAGATGTCATTGAATTATTTTACGTTGGGATATGTTAGTGTTACTTGAGTTTCAGAAAACAGGATGGGGTGCATTTGTAGAGTGCAGGTCTTAATGATAGCTAGCAGTGCATTTCCCTGTCAGGGACAAGGCTGGCCGATGTGTCAAATCAGGACACATTACTCATTCATGTTATGAAAAAGGTAACAGAGTTTATCTTATAGCCAGAGCTCTAAGAGGTGCCTCTGTCTTTGGCAGAAAGAACTGATCAGATTCATGGTGACAGGATGACAATAAAGGAGACAGGGCTGGCCTTTTAATACCTGCTTCTAGTTTTTAGGACACTTAAGAGTGGTGTGATCTTGGGCCCCTGGGTGGGGCTCAGTCGGCTGGGCGATCTGAGTTGGGCATCGGACTCTTGATCTCAGCTCAGGTCTTGATCTCAGGGGTGTGAATTCAAGGCCTGCATTGGGGGGGGTGAGTGGTGTGATGTTGGTAGAATATTTGACCTGGGTGTGTTTCCTCAGCTATAAAAAAAAAAACACAGGTTGCACTATGAAGAGTAGATACTTTATCATCAATTACCTATGACTGCTTAACAACATCCCAGAACTTGGTGGCTTAAAAAAAGTTTATCATTTCTCAGTTTTGTGGCTTGGTTGAATGGTTCTTTTGCTAGTGTCATATGGGCACTCTGCATTCAGCTGGCCAACTGGCTGGGGGCGGAGTGGAACAGCTGGGCCTCTCCATGTGGTCTTTTTGTCTTGGGCTTAGGGCATAATGGTCTCGGAGTACCAAGAAGGCAGAGGCAGTAGCTTCAAAGCCTGAGCTCAAGAACTCACAGACCATCACTTTCACCACATTGTTTTGGTCAAAGCAAGTCATAAGGCTGGCCCAGATACAAGGGATGAGGAAACAGAATCCTCATCTTGAGAGAGGAGCTGCAGAATACAGCCCTGTTTGCTGTTCACCATAATAATGTATGCAAAACAGTCCTGCGACTAGCATTGGGTAAGCTTTTAAGATGCCCATCATTTGTTTTTATAATCTGTGTCTGTTCTCTAAATTGGTAATTTATTGAAAACCCCCAAACCTTAACTTACTAAGGCATTTTCACAAACTGATGTTTGAAGATAGATTGAGTCGGTGGTGGTCTCCCCACACATAAAACAAATTGTCGCTTTTGCAAGATTAGATAGAAAGTAGTAGGCGTTGTGACTGTTTATTCCACAAATATTAGATGAACACCTACTGTGTGCCAGGTTTAAGTGCTGGCACTAGCAGGTGCACTTTCTTACTAGAGCTTAAAGTCTTGAGTTGGCCCTTGGACTACAATTGTACTTACTTGTAACTACACATACACACACTTGGTAGAGTTAAGTGAATCAAATTTACTAAAATTAAAAAGACATATAGGGTATCTATAAAAGCCTATGCAGTTTAAAAAAAAATTCTATGTTAAATCTAAACAGTTTGTGAAATATACTAGAAAATAGATTTAAGACTTAGCAAATCTAACTGGAGAAAGGTTTGCTTTTGACATATCCACTCTCATTTTTGGGAAAGGAAAGTTACACAGTTGAAGCCTAACATAGGATTTGTTACCTGAAAAATAAATGAGAACAAATGCTTATAAGTAATTTTGTGTAATTTATATTTAATTCCTAACAAAGACCCTGAGGTAAATAGTAAGTGATTGAGTTGAAAGAGACCCCTCTTGAGGCGAGTTCCTCTTCAGTAACTTAATTGGATCTGGTTTTTATTTCATTTTAGGGACAGCGACTTTTAAAGTGCCATTTAAAGTGAGTGATTCAGGGTGGGAGGATGGGTTAGCCTGGTGATGGGTATTAAAGAGGGCACGTTCTGCATGGAGCACTGGGTGTTATACGCAAACAATGAATCATGGAACGCTACATCAAAAACTAATGATGTAATGTATGGTGATTAACATAACATAATAAAAATAAAGTGAGTGATTCATAAAACAGGAAAATTGTACTTGCAGTGTTTATTAATATTTATATGTTACTTTAGAGTTTACAGAGCACTTTGAATATATCATTCAAGTTCTCTGAAAAACTCAAG